CCGCGTTAATTGGTCGCGCTACCTGGCCCAGGGTTAGGGTTAGGGCCAGCAAAGTTACGTCACATATTTTGCATACTAATTACTTTCGGAGATTTTGCATACTAATTACTTCCGTTGCCCAAGTGGGGGGCTTTACTACTAACGTTTAAATCACTAAATGTCGAAGAAGGGGCAACGTTTATTTGCCAAAATCGGCCCAACAAATCGCAGCGTGTAAACGTAGCTTTAAACTGAAAATTCGGTATTCCAAGTCACATTAAAAATAAATTCCTCATTCCGTCGAGGAGTTAACAACAATTTCCCATTCCAAAATTCAGCCTCATCTCCCTATGTTTAAACAGTTTTATTCTCACTCTTTTAAGCATTGTTTTCATTCCTTGTCAGCAAAAATATTCGCTTAAGTGTTTCTTATGTTCAATTCTACGGCCAAATTTTCATGTAGATAACTAACAAGCAAAGGCCGTGGCATTGTAAATAAAGAGTCACAGCTCAATTTCGATGATGGGATTGGACGATAGTTTTTTTACTATAAATATATATTACAGTACGTTTCTTCTTAGAATGACAAATATTACACATACCAAATATTATATTTGGGGTTAGTGGAATTTTAATAAAATAAACTTTGACGGAGTTTATCCATGCATCATTGCTAAGTACCTCTACATTATAAGTAGCGGCTGGCAGTTGTAGCTAGCTAAGCTGTCCACAATGTTGAGATTTTTGCCGGTAGTTGCCCCCCCCCCCCGTAGTTCATGTTGAAAAGACAAAATTTGTCTTGTGCTGCATGGTTAACAATACCCGAGATTTTGCAAAACACTTCCTGCTAATTTTCTCTCTTATTTACAGGATTTTTTTTTCAAAACTCTTACTATGAAAATAGCATGGATCCAGTTAGAAATATATAGTATAAAAATACAATTTCGATACTTATTATATACATGACAAAATTACTGCAATCTGATTGGTTAAGAGGAGTGCAATTATTTCATTAATTATTTATCTTCTGTAATCAGTGGCAAATACTGCAATTTCATTGGTTTACAGGAGTGCGATTTGAGCCATTAATCGCACTTTTTCTGAGCTGTAATCGCACTCTTGTCTACAGCCAACGAAAATCAGTCTAGTATTTACACTAGCCAATCAGCACTCAGGATACAAACTTTGAATTTTATTTTCTTTATTGCTGTAAAAAATTTCAAAATGGAGGAATTCACAAATTTTGCCCTTTTAATTTTTAAATCAGCCCTCGAAAAC